GAATTCCCCCTAAGCGCACACCTGGCCCTGTGCGCCGTCTCCGAGCATGAGAACTGCTAGGAGTTGGGTAGATCAGGGGTGGCCAGGACACGTCACCCTGAGCCCCTGTGACCCGAGAGCATTCCGGCCGTCGGGGCACCTTCAGTCCTGTAGAAAAACCCTGGCCCGGCAGAGGGTCCTTGATCCCAGATGGATCCCCAGATCTGCCCCAGTGAGGACCCCCTGGAGCGAGAGGTTGGCGATGTGCGTATTTTATAATGACTACGCTCCCGGAGCTGAGCCTGAGGCGAGAACTTGGGCCCCGAAAACCGGCCCGTGGGGGACACTGGCCAGTTATTTACAGCTGGGGAACCCAGACCCCTGTAGCACTGAGAGAGCCACCGCGTGTCGGCTAATTGAATAACGTGCAGCGGTCACAGTGGCGCTCATTATGGGATGGAGGTGGGCAAGGCAGTACGGCGACCTGTCCTGGCCATGGGGCCGCCCAAAACTCACTCACCTGAACGTGGGAAAACGGCGGTTTGGGTTCCCGCCACACTCTTCTGGCTCCGTCCCTATCACATCTGCGGTGGGGACCCTTCAGAGTGCCCATGTGATGGACGGGGGTCGATCATCACCCTGACCTGGAGGCCTCCCCCATCCTGAGGGCCTCGGGGCTGGATTCCAGGGCCTGCCCCGGGTCAGCCGCTGCAGAGGGAGTCTCGGGAGGGCAGTCAGGAGCCGGACGCCTCCCCAGGTCCCTCCAGAGGTGCTGAGTGGGCTGAGGTGAGAGGCTGCGAGGGAGGGCAGTCAGTTCTCACTGCTGGGCCACCCCAGCCTGAGGGCACAGGGGCCCCTCACGGCTTGCCCAGCTGGGGGAACTTCTGGGCCCAGGCCTTCCACAGGGATGGAGTGAGGGGTCCCCTCCTGGGGAGAGCTAGGGTGGGGAGGGAGAGAAAAGTCAGGTGAGCACCCAGGGGGCTGGGAGCCCCTCCGTCCACACCCTCCAAACTTCTGCCCCTTATGGGCTGAGCATGTGTCTACACCCTTACCGGCTCCTACTCACCAAGGCTGGCCCCCTGGAGGCTTTGGGGCCTCTCTGGACGTATGCTGGGCCTGGCATCCCTGCCCTATGAGAGACCAGGGGTCCCTGCCCCGTGAGAGACCGGGGGTCCGTGCCCCGTGAGAGACCGGGGGTCCCTGCCCCGTGAGACACCTGGGGTCCCTGCTCCATGAGAGACCCGGGGTCCCTGTCCTGTGAGAGACCTGGCATTCAGAGGGGCTCAGTGACCGCTGGGGCTGAAGTACTGTCTTAGTCATCTAGTGCTGCTCTAACAAAAATGCCACAAGAGGATGGCTCTAACAAAGAGAAGTTTAGTCTCTCACAGTCTAGGAGGCTACAAGTCCAAATTCAAGGCATCAGCTCCAGGCGAAGGCTTTCTCTCTCTGCCAGTTCTGGAGGAAGGTCCTCGTCATCATCAATCTTCCCCCGAACTAGGAGCTTCTCTGTGCAGGAACCTCAGGTCCAAAGGACGTGCTCTGCTCCTGGCACAGCTTTCTTGGTGGTATGAGGTCCCCAACTCTCTGCTTGCTTCCCTTTCCCTAAAAGGTGGTGCAGGCCACACCCCAGGGAAACTCCTTTTATCTTGGATCAGGGATGTGACCTTAGTAAGGGTGTTACAATCCCACCCTAATCCTCTTTAACATAAAATTACAATCACAAAATGGAGGACAACCACACAGTACTGGGAATCATGGCCCAGCCAAACTGCTACACACATTTTTTGGGGAACACAATTCAATCCATGACAGGTGCCAACAGGAGGAAGAGCCCCCCTGGGTCTGGAGGGCAGTGGGCTGCTTGTGGGGGACACCAGAGAGCGGCACCAACTCCAGGCACAGGGTGTCAGCACCCTCCCCACAGTGCTGTCAGCTCCAGGCGGGCAGGGGGAGCTGGGCACAGGGCCGGGCCCTGGGTGTTAGCCCCCTCCCCACAGTGCTGTAAGCTCCAGGTGGGCAGAGGGAGCTGGGCACAGGGCCGAGCACAGGGTGTCAGCGCCCTCCCCACAGTGCTGTCAGCTCCAGGCGGGCAGGGGGAGCTGGGCACAGGCCGGGCCCAGAAGTGGGCACAGCAGATGCCCGTGAATAGAGGACAGTGAAGGCTCTGAGGGTGGGTTGGCGTGCAGGGGACAAGGACCTGGGCCACTGAAGGCTAGTGGGTCCAGAAGGGCACAGGCATCCTGGGGGAGGGATGCCGGACCCCTTTGGCTGAGTTGCCTGCCCCCTGCCGCGCTTGCTGCCTCCCCAACACCCCAGCCCCGCCTGGTCCTGGTAGCCACCTCTGACCAACCGGCCAGCTGGGCAGAAGGCAGCCCTCGGCCACTTGGGCCTCAGGCTGCCTTCTCCTCCTCACTTCCCCACCGGGGCGGGCCCTCCTTCCCCAGGCGGCACGGGTGGTTCCAGGGTGGGCCTAGGCAGGGTCGGGGCTGTTGCAGAGGCAGTGAGTGCCAACAGTGGCCAGCAGACACTCCTGTGGCACTGAGCCCTGGCTGAGGCCTGTACTTCTTTTTTTTTTCTTTCCGGGGAGTTACCACACAGCCCTGTGAGTTAGGTGCATTTTAAAGATGGGAAACTGAGTCACGTGGTGAGAAGGACAGAGGCTGGATAGGATCCAGCCTGTCCAATCCCACACTTTCAACCATACCCTAGCAGCTCCCCAGCACACTTCAGAGTCACAAGAACATTCTGGAATTAATGCACAATTTTGAGCTTCCCAGAATTTTCCTGGGAAGAGGGTCTGAGCCTGCATCAGACTCCTCAAAGCATCCACGGCCATGCTCAGATATGGGACCCCAGGGCCGGGTGCCCCCACATAGATTTGGGCCTCTTCCTGCCTCAGGGAGCCTGGGATGTCCTGGGGGGCCAGGACGGCCCCCCTCTCAGGACTGCATCCAGGCTGGGCTAGCAGCTGGGAGCTGGCCGGGGCCCCGGAGGGGCCTCCCAGTGTCCCCCCCCACAGTGGCCTTCCAGCTAGGGTGGGAACACAGTGGCCGGCCAGGCCCTCTACGTCTCCCCACGAGTCATTTCCATTCTTCCTGCCAAAGATTTAACTTGAGGGATGACCTCGTGGGGATATGGGGACACAGCAGGCTGGGAGCTGCCTGCCGGCCGCCGCGCACTGCCATACGCACAGATGGTACAGACGTCTTTCTCACCATTGATAACCTGGGATGACATCAGACCCGGTAATTAGGAGGGTGAGTAGGAGGCGATCCCTGACCTGCCAGAGATCACGGAGGGGACAGGTCTGGGCAGGCCCCCGCGGGCTGGGTGGCTGGGCAGCAGGCTCCCACATCCCTTCCTGGAGGTGAATCTGCACTCTAGGGCTCCCTGACACCATAGCTTGGATGCCTTGACCGTGCCCCAGGGTCCATGGCCAGGGAGCAGTGATGTCCCCAGAGCCAGGGGGCTGTATCCTTCTCTCCTACCGAGGGGACCGAGTCCCAGGGACCTATGGGGCGCCCCACTCTGCAACTTGGGACACGTCCCCTCCACCCCCAGACCTTGCTCAGTCTCTGCTGAAGATCAGGGCAGCGGTCCGACGTGGCAGGGCTAAGTGACGCGGGAGCCCCATGGAAGCCAGGGCGCACGGGTGGATGGGCCGAGGCCAGCAGGCGAGAGCTCTTCCCTCCTCAAGAGTGAATGAATCAAGTACAAATGATTGAAAAGAATGAAGTTCTGATACCCGCTAGGAAGAGGAATCTCGAACACCACCGTGAGAGACGCCAGACAGGAAGTCCCGTATTTTCTGACTCTGTTATGTGAAGTGTCCACAGCAGGCGGTCCCCAGAGACGGCAAGTAGACCAGTGGTCGCCAGGGGCTGCAGGGAGGAGTGGGGATCGACCGCTCCTGGGCACAGGTCTCCTCTGAGGTGGTGAGAACCTCTAGAACGAGATGTGGTGGTCGCACAATATTGAGAACGTACTGGAAGCCACTGGGTTGTCCGCTATAAGATGGCTAATTATGTGTCATGTGAATTTCACCTCGTTTAAAAAGAAAAGATTGGATGGATGAAGCCCAGGTGCCCGTACCGCCTCGCCACAGGTTCGGACGCTCGGTTCAGGGAGGAGGCGACTTGCCCACAGGCACTGGATGGCAGGTGGGGCTTGAACCCAGACTTCTAACTGCAAAGCGGATGTGCAGAGGAGGCACCCTGACTCAGTTTCCCTTCCGGAAACACAGACCTGAGGTGTGTGAGGGCCAGGGCCAGTTCTGGGGCCAAGCAGCTTGTGTTCTCAGGTGCCTGAGGGTTTGCACCATGTCCCCAGGGGCAGGGAAAGGCTGGACCAGGCATGGCAGGGGCCGGGGAGCAGGCGGGGGGCAGCCCCCACCCACATCCGGGGTCGTGGACGGCTCAGCTCAGGACTGGCCTGACCCTGCATGTAAACAGCTCCTGCCCTTCCCGTCCTCCAGGGCCCCCACCCTGGGGCCAGGCCACGCTGTACCCCGCTCTCACCTGGCATCCAGCTGGAGCCAGGGGGCTGAGACCACTTCCTGGCTCTCCTACCAGCACTTGGACCCTGCCCCCAGGCAGGGCCTCCTCAGCAGGCCCTGCGAGGGTGCATGGGCAGACCCCTGTTTCTGTGCTGACCCCTGGGTGTCCCAGGCCCACCTCCTGGAGGCGTGGGAGGATCCGGCGCCGGTGCCCTGCACAACTGGGGCTCAATCCTGGTGCTAACGGCGGGCGCCACGTTCAACCCTGAGATGTGGGCCCCCCGCCCCTCCTCCAGCCGTGTCTCCCCTGTCCCTCGCACCTGGGAGGCCAAGCATCTGCTCCCCCACCTCATCTCTGACACAGAACATTGTACCCAGGCTTCCGGCCCCAACCACTCACGCCTCCTTTCCTCAAAATAACCCCTCCCCATCCGGCCTGTGGGAGCTGCCCCTGCCGGAGGTGGGACACCTCACCTCGCGGCCTCCTTCCTGTCCCACTGCACAGAGTGCAGGGTTCTAGAGGCTGTGGGAGCTGGGCTTTCGTCCCCGGGCGCTGTCCCTGGGCTGTGCGTGGGGGGGGGCACCCCGCTTACTCTCCGGCCTCACCCGGCCGCCGACCTTCTGCAGCGGGCCTGACGCAGCATGCTCAGGAGCCCTGGGTGGTGAGTGGTACTGGCTGTGGTAAGGAGAGAGGAAGCTTCCTCCCTGTGGTGTCGCCTCCACCTGGCCCAGGGGTGAGGGTAGGTGAGGGCACCCCACGCAAGGGACAGGCCAGAACTGGCAGAGTGGCTGGCTGTAGGCAGAGTTGGCCCCCGGCTTCTCTGGTCTGCCCAGGACAGGCAGAGGGCTCTGGTGCCGGCCATCAGCTTGGGCTGCCCCCACCCCGACTGTTGCCTGGTCTGGCCCCCTGGGGATGCCCCCAGACTGCCCAGGCCTGTGATGACCATGGGCCAGGCCTGGTGCTCAGGGGCCCCACCCTCCCTTCCTAGCTTCATGTCCCCTCCGTCCACCTCTGCTTTCCCCTGACCAGGGCTGCCCCCTACACCCAGGGGCTCCTGAGCCCACCTGCTCATCTCTCCCTCCCTCGGTCAGTGTCCTTGGCAAGTCCTTGCTGTGCCCTGCACCTCAGTTTCCCCATCCTCGTAATGCGGGCTCCCAGGACCGGGGCTCTGGCCACCCTCGTTCTCAGCCCCGGCCCCTTGCCCTTGTCCCTGCCTTCCTTCCGTCCCTGTGCTGCCTTCACCGGGGAGCCTTCCGGGGGACACTGGGCACTTTAATCCTCAGATCAGCCCTGAAGGGCCCCCCATCGCCCCATTTGCAGATGAGCCAGGACCTCAGGGTGAGGGGTCTTGGAGGCCACTCGGGGGCAGGGGCATCTGCTCACCTTCTCTGTGGGTGTCAGCTGAAGCCCTGGGGCTCTTCCCTGTGGGTCTGCTGGGGAACCCAAAAATCCTTCCAAGGTTGGGAGCCGGGTCTGGGGGCTCCTGTGCAGTGCCTGGTGACTTCGGCTGCCTGCACTTTCATCCCATGCCGACTGCGGAGCGTCTGGTGGGGCTGGGCCCCTCCCCTGACCTGCAGCCCTAGCACAGGCCTGGTGCACTGCGGTGCAGGGAGGTGAGCAGGATGGATGGACAGACGGATGGATGGATGGACACCCGGCAGGGCGCCCGGGGCCCACACAGCCCGTCAGACTGGAGGCCGCTCTTCCCTGCAGCTGAGCTGACCTCCTCCCTTCCCCTTCCCTTCTGTCCTGCCCCATCCCGATACCACCCGACCCACCTGAAAGCAGGCCCCTTCTCAGGCGGTGTCCCTGGCCCATTTTACTGCCGAGACCACCGAGGCAGACAGGGAGGCCGAAGAGCTGGGCGGGGGTGGCTGCCCACGTAAACAGCGCTCCTTGGAGCTGTGCACAACCTGGACCAACCTGGCTGGGGGCCACGGTCACACCCACTTCTCACCCCTCCCACCCCCTGCCTGGGGGAGTGAGTGACTAGAAGACTCAGAGCATCAGTGGGGGGTCTGGACTGGTCCAGCCTGGGGACCTCGGCACCCTGCAGGCTCCCCTGGGCGGCATTCCTGGGATGCCTGCGTCCCGGTCAGCAGGCCAAGATACTGGCTAGGCAAACGCTCCAGCCTCAAACACAAAGGCCCCCCGCCAGACCCCTCCCCACCCCATTGTCTTCCCTCTGTGGAGGGGGCAATGTGGAGGGGCCAGCAGGAGGGGAACAAGGCCTGGGTCCCTTTCTCCAGGGCGGGAAGGGGCTGGGAAGCTGGGACTGGATGAAAGGAGATGCAGATGAGATGCTGATGAGCCAGCCTGGCGCCCTGGGAGCTGCCCGCCCGCGGCCCCTCCCCCACCTCTGGGCCCTCCCTCGGCCTTGGCCTTGCCGCTGCCCTCTGTGCCTGGCTTCTCCTGCGTCCTGCCCTCCGCCCCACTGCAGGGCACTTCAAAAAGGCAGGGCGCCTGGGCTGGGGCTGGGGCTGGGGCTGGGTCTGAGCACCCGGGCTGGGGCTGGGGCTGAGGCTGGGGCTAAGCACTGGGGCTGGGCTGGGGCTGAGCCCCTGGGCTGGGGCTGAACGCCTGGGCTGGGGCTGAACACTGGGGCTGGGGCTGAGCGCCTGGGCTGGGGCTAGGACTGAGTGCCTGGGCTGGGGCTGGGGCTGGGGCTGGGGCTAAGTACAATAAAATATTTAAAAAAAAAAAAAAAA